GAGAAAACAGAACAGAAAGGAAATTGCTTCTAAAGGACACGGTAATAAACGTGTCCTGTATATATCACTTTTGGTGGGTTGTGTTTATTATTAACTTGGAGAAGCCTCGAGCCCAGACGTGGGAGCACGGCAGGCGGGTTTCCCTGGGAGCACAGCCCCAGACAGCACTTTATTGCCCCGTGTCTGTGCCACGCGAACCAGCCCCTGTGGCAGACCTCATTAGCCCAGCCAGGGAGCTGGGAAGCCTACTGCTGCCCACATTTCTCTGCAAGGAGCTCCCTGACGTTTTCCCCTTTGCTAATTTCCACTAATGGATGATCCGACTAATTTTAATTAAACCGCTATATACTGGGAATAACTCCTCCGGCTTCACGTTAATGCCAGCTAATAGAGAAAATCTGCCTTGCAGAGCCTCATCCTTGGAAGTTGTCGGCTTCGGTTGTTCAGCTGAACTCCAGCACCTGGGGAGATCAACCTTAGGACGTTGGCTTGACGTTGAGTCTCGTGCCAGGACCGGTGCCAGTGGGTCTGATGCCAGTGGGTGCGAAATTCTTAGGAAAAGTCTCATCAATTTCCGTGTAATCAAGATTTCACCTTTATCTCTAATGCCTGTCTGCATTCAGGCCAGATTTGCTTTCCTGCTTTTGATCACTCCCAAGGTGTGAATAAAATTAAATCTGTTAAACAAGTAGCTGCTTAACCTGGGTTTACTGCTGCTTTGCATAAGTGGAGTGCCTAAAAGCAGCTAGCAGGTAGGATACGTAGTTAAATACAGAAAAAGCTTGCCCAGACTTTTCTAAAGAAGTGGCTTGGGCACTCAGCCGTGTGTTGGGGTTTCTTTGTTTTTAACAAAACCTGCAGTAGCACTGCTTAGCAGTGTGAAAGTGGGGCGGCTGCACCTGAGACCCCCTGGATTTGGAAGTGAGGGGGAAACAACCTCTCCATGATGTGTGCTGGGACCATATGTCATTCCCTGGAGCCATCCCAGGACATGGGAACATCACTGATGTAGGTAGGATGCTGAGATCACCTGGTTTGAAGTCCACTGGGTGAAGAAAATAATGTTCTGGTGGTGGCCAGTTTAGTTTTCCGTGGCCAGTCCTGGGACGAACCGAAGCAAGCACACACATAATTCACTGCTCCTTCCCTGTGCCATGAGGCACACTTCTCAGGGCACATCTTTTGAAAGAAGCACTTTGACCCTTGTATTTTCAGGAAATTAAAAAGGTGGAATCCTCCCCCCCCCCAAAGAAAAAAATGTTTTTTGCTTAATTTAAGATAACAAGCCCCATCAAGATAGCAGTTGTTCTCCTGTTTGAGTACTGCCTCTGCTCATTATGTGTGTGTATATTATCGTTATCAGTAATCTCCTCGGAGCTTTACAATGGCTCAAAATTATGACATTCCCTGCTCCCAGAGCTTGCTATATCAAACACAAACAAGTTATCAGGAAGAGCTGTAACTACAGAGCCGCTGATCCGAGCCAACCTTTGATCTGTGGCTGGAGATGGGATGAAACAAAAGGTGGCTTGTCAGGTTGTCAGGACCCTGAGTTTAATACGATTCATCAGACAAACCGGGTATTTCGGCTGGGGCACAATCAATGCATATTCTTTCGAGGATGCTAGGAGTTTTTCCTTGGTTTGGGATTTTTTTTCCCCCACACATGGCATTGGTTTGAAAGCATTTAAGTGGTGATTATCCCTTATTTTCCTACTTTATTGGCAACGGTGAAATGTGGGGATAAACAGAATATATGCAACGGTGCAAAAAGAATAAAAACACATTTCTGAGTTAAGAAAATGAGCTGTGGAGCAAAGACCACAGTGTGATTACACAAGCTTATTCACTGATGGAAATAAGTGCTGTGGCAGGCAATTATTTCCAGATCTTACCATGCAAGAAAGGCAAACTGTTTGCTGGATAGCATTCATGAGGGTCAGATGATGGAGGGAAAGGCCAGGAAGACAAGAAGGAAAGCTTTCACATCCCTTTTTGCAAGCTGTCACATGAAAGAAATGCCTGCAGTAACACTCACTGAATGTGAACAGGGGGATGTTTGCAAACTGCCAGAACGTCCCTCACAGGGGCAGAGGGAGAAGAAAATGATCATTAAGCGAAACAATAAGAGAATTGTTGCCATTTCATGTTATTTTCGTCGTCCGGAGCTGAGCGAAGAGAAACAAGCCGTGCTTGTCCGGTCCGTGCTCTGCCAAGGGAAGCCTGATGCCATTAGAGGGGCTGCACTGGACTTCTCGTGCTGAGGCCATAAAGGTCTGGGCCCCATCCCCACCACAACATCACCTGGGCTTCTTCAGAAGCCACGCTGGTCCCAGCAGCACCTGTGTGTGTACGTGTGCCTGTAGACTCCTGCCAAGCCACGATTTCAGCCATTTGCTCTTTAGCCCTGTCAGCAGCTCGGTGGCCTTAGGACCCCTCAGTAGATGAAGGGTGAAGATCAGCCCAGAGGTGCCCCTCTCTCCCTTTGACTCCATGGGGGACCTGCAGCTCGTGTTCTCCCACCAAAGACCCATGAGGGAGGTGTTCAAAGCCATGTGGGGTGGCTCTGGGCCTGCAGACTGTGTCTACAGCTGTCTCAAGGCTCGGCCCGTGGGCCCAGCAGCTCCTGAGCTGCTCAGGACGAGGTGACCCTACAGAGATCTCCTCAGGATCACGGCCATCCAGGCATAAATACGAAAGTGTGCAGTGCCCTCGGCTGCTCGGAAGCTTCATAAATGGCCTGGGGAAAGGGTGAGGGGTGAGGAGGCAGAACCTGCTGCCGATAAGAAGTTATCTGAGGGCAAGGACACGCTGTGGGAACTGCAGGAGGCCAAGTGGTCAGTGAAAGGGCTGACATGCAACAGATAACTGCAAAATTGGGGTTTGGATGGGTGGGGAGTCCTAGTTCACGTGGGCTCTATGCAGGCTTATGCTGCTGAAGAAGCAGGTCCTGTGTTTGGTGTCCACCAAAGCATGAGCTCAGGGCTCAGCAGCAGCCACAGAAGCGGAGTCAGATGCTAGGAGCCTGCGGGAAAGGAGCCCAGAGGCTGGCAGATTGGTTTTTAAAGCCCTCAGCAATAGGCTTATTGCCTGCTCGTGGGGCCCTGGAATAAGCAGTGCCCATCAGAGGGTGGTAACATGTGCCACGAGATGGGCGAGATGAAATAAAATAACATATAACATAGCATAACGTAGCATAACATAAATAGCCAGGGATATTATAATAAAAATAAGTACCCCAGCCCCTGGGGGACACCTCCAGGTTTGTGGCAGGAGCAGGCAGGGTGTCTCAGCTGGATACCTCCTCCCTGGCACCTGCTTTGAAAGGGAGGGAAAAAGCTGTTTGTTCTCTGCAAAGTGTGCATCTGCCCCAGCGAAACCTGCAGAGGAAGTGTCAGACCCCACCCTGGGAAAAAAAAAAAAAAAAAAAAAAAAAAAAAAAAAGCGTATGAGTGTGTCTGTCTTTCTGTATATTTACATTTACACACACCCCTACATCTGTTTTTCTTCTGCTGGTCATTGAGGCAGTGGGCAAGGCGGAGGAGCTCACAAGGACAAGCATCTGGGTGCTGTCCCCTGGGGGCTACTCGAGCAAAGCCCCCCAGCAGCAGGGTTTCTCCCCAGAAACCTTTGGCCACCATCTAGCTTCCCTGTTGCATTGCCCTCACGGCTCCAGGGATGACCTGAAATGCTCCTCTAAAAGGAAATACGCTGCGGCTCTTGATGTTTTCCAGCCCGTGGCGTTTGTTTTCCTTCCACAAAATGCAAGTCAAAAATCCAAATGCTGTAAGCCCATTTAAAATGCAGTGTTTCTGCATCCCACCGCCGTCCTGATAACACAAACGGAGGGTGCTTTTGTTCTTTTGTTTTTCCTTTTCTTTTTACGTTGACTTTAAATGGAGTGAATCTGTTTTTCTCCTTTGCTCCTGCCTCTTGCCGATGTGCAAAGCAGCGTTTCTGCTCCGAGCGCCTGGGACTAATAGCGGGAGTCATCCCCAGCGCCACAAAGGTTTCCTTTTGTCACCTTTGTGTCTCCTCTCCCTGCTGTCCCGTTGGGTCAAAGGGGGCTGCTGAATGTCACCCCCATGCCGTGGCCCAGGGGTGCAGCGGGGACCTGCCCCGGGACCCCCATCCCTGGGGGGAGAAGGAGGAGAGACGAAGCGGGGGCTGTCAGAAGGGGCTAGCATCACCCTAAGGAAAAATGGAAAAAAAGGGGAAAAAAGGGAAGCCAGACTAGGGATTCTGCCACTCCTTAGACACAGGGGGAAAGGAGGCAGCCTCTTACATAGCCTTTAAGTCCAATGGGTATCAGTTTATGAAAGCCGCTAGCTCGGTCCTGGCAACATCTGCATTTAGAGAACGTTTGTGTTTTGTTTTTATTTCTGTGGAGTTTTAACTGTTATACTAATTAGATTAATTCATCATTTATATTCATCTTTAATTAATATTAATTTATAATTAATATTAATTCATAATATTTAATAAAGCATTGCAAACTTTAAATATATACTTAACAATACCAGAAAGAATTAGTAGTTAATTCTTCCTTATTGTTTTCGTTCTTCAACCTGCTCTGTGAGTACCGTGCTGGTGGTACACGTGAAAATGAAACTCAGAAGTCCCAAATGGCCGTAAATTTCTGAAACTTCTCCTTTCTGTCTTCCTCCCCAGCTTCAGCACCCTGCCTTGCCCTGCTCCGTGGTGCGGACTTGAAATGAACTGAATAGAGGTTGCAACATCTTAGCGAATTCCACATGAATATATTCCTGGCGCAGGCTGAAGAAAGAATAAAATTAATGGGATGTGAGGGAGGGAGGGAGGAGGGTTTAACAATTTCGCTGTTTGCTGGAAGTAGGAGTCGGCAGGAGGTGCCTGTATCAATAGTGAGTGAGGCAGCGCAGCAAGAGGAAAAAAAAAATAAAAATAAAAAATAGAAACCTCCTGGGAGAGAAACTCTATTGAACCATTGAAGCTTTCAGATCTCGGAGCATCCCCTATTGTATTTACAGCTCCTCTGTGACTAAACACTATTTTCCAATTACTATATTGTTGGTTTTTTGCTTTTTTTTTTTTCAGTTGGGCTCCTTATCCTTTCTTTGAAGCAACGTGACCGCATAGTAAACTGTTTTTGAGGAGTGTTTGCTGCTTGAGGTTAGAAGTTGAAACCACAGAGTTCCTTATCTTGTCTTTCTGCCTCTGTTTTTAAATGAGCTAGCAGGGCAGAAGAGCGCTAACAACCGAAATGTTCTTTTTGCCCTCTCCCCACCCATATTTTCAAGGCCACAGGAGGAGAAGTCCCCGGCAGGACCCAGCTGCTGGTTTTGCTGCCCGCAGACCAGGTACGTGCTTCTGAGGGGTGGGCAGGGAGGGGAGAGCAACCACCAGCCTAACATAGCTCCCCCGAAACCTGCGCTGGTTGCTTAGCAAAAAGCTCCAGAAAACAAACAAAACAAAACAAAACAAAAAAGCTAATTTTGGTACCTTTCCATCCCAAGCTTCAACCATGTGGAAGCTTTAACTGCAGTGGGCCTCTGCTCCTGGGCTGCTGCAGGAGGGTCTCTGCCACTGCCTCCATCTGAGACAGCTCTTGGAGCCCCTACAGAAGTCCAAGACCTTTGGATGAATGCAGGTGACAAAAATTTGCTCCTGTGGTTTGATTTTAGTTTGCACGCTTCCTGGCACATTTGGGAGAAGATGCTTCTAACTGGGGTGAGCTTGGCCAGCTTTCCAGGCTGCACCATGTTGGTACCTACAGACCTTCCCAGCTAGCTCAGGCTTTCAAAATCACATTTTGCAGCACATTTTGAAGACATTTGTCTCCCATGCAGACCTGTGGTGGTGCTGGATACATCCCAACATCATGGTTTTATAGCAGGACAAGTGTGCTGGCATAAATCCTTTTGTAAGGATGTCCCCTTTCTACCTCCCAGAGGTGCATGGACTCAACAAAGCTGGGTTCTGTGCTTAGTCCTCATTTTTAACAACAGCTGTACTTGGCCTCGCTGTGGGTTTTTTGTCTTTTTTGAATCTTTTTAGAAAGAAATCACTGGCACACAGACACATAGGTAGCCTCGTTTCCTAGAACTCATAGCTAGGTTTTTGGGAGGGAACTGAGACAGTTTTTCCAGCTGTGAGCGATGCCTCCAGTGGATTGATTTCTGCACAAAAACACTTGTGGTATTGAACCCCGAGTGGTGTTTGCCATTTGCACTCAGCTGTTGGCGAGTTACATGGGAATTTCACATGGGAAACAGAATTACTTTCATTATCTCGAGGCCCATCTCGAAAACACAGCACTGATAATTACCTCTGTTTAGTTCTGGCTCTCAGAAAATCAGACTTCGCTCTTGAGCAAAACAGCCGGGGGGGCTGTGTTTAGACAAACGCTTCCTGCCTGTGGAAAACCTTTCCGAAGCAGTCCCAGCCAGCTTCACCTGGGGCCCTTGCCCTCACAAATGGCCATGCTGTGGGGTCTGCAGCCACCCTGGGACCCCAGCCACCTTCACCAGCACGTCCTGGGGCTGCGTGCGGGGATGAGGGGCACGAAGCTCATGGTGAAGCCTCCTGAGATGACACTGGCTGACCCCAGTGTTTTGCAGGACAAGTCACCACCTAGTTCTCGTAAACTTCTTGACTTCTGTGGGTGACTTCTCACAACCACCTGGCCTGCCAAAAGCTTTAAGCCCGAGTCTAACCTGATTGATTTTTCCCCTGCAGTTTCAGGGCATTGCTCCTCATCTGGAGCAATTCCCTCCCTTCGTTTCTGTCAGCACCTGTCATTACCTCTCCCATCCTCCCCCCCACTCACTTATTCCCATGGAGAGCCCTTTGTGACCCCAGAAGCTACACGTGTCAGCCTTCTGTGTGTTTGAGCTAGTTTCTGTATGCCTTTCCCGAATACCAAAGGTCAAAAACACAAGCTGTGTTGCTCTACAACCTCATTAACCCCACAGATTTCGCTAGCAAACTGTCTCTGCATGTTTGCAAGCAATCATCTTGTTTCCCTCAGGTTTTCTCTGTGGGGCATCCTGGCGTGCAGCATCCCTGCTTAAGCTCCCGGGCACTTTTTTTGGGTCCATGCAATCCAGATCTGGGCGGAGATGTCTCCTCTCTGCTGGACAGCAAGGAGATTTCAGGAGGGTGACTGGCTCAGCTGTAGCTAATTGATAAATATCTGCAGCTAAAGCCCATACATCCCACTCAGGGTTAAAATAAGGCTTGCATAGGGCTGGGAGGGAAAGCCAGCCCATGGAAGCACAACGCCACCACCCTAAAGGTGTCCTCATCTGCCTGGGCTGTGGTGGGCCACCGAAGCCCATCTCAATGAGCTGGGGCAGGTTGGGGAATCCAGTGGCTTCCCTCCTTCCTTTTTTTAATTCATTTATTATTAATTTGCTAATCCAGCTATCACACGAAGGGAGGGATTGACAGCTCTTACAGCATGTCCTGAGCCACGGGCTGGGGAACATCTTTCCCCCAGATGCTCACGGAGGGCACGGCACACACGGGGACTGCCGGAGCCAGACCAGCTCCTCCCTCAGCTTGCCCCGGGTTTGCCTGACGCCTGGCTGGAGGCTGGGAGCACCCCTGGATGTGTCCTTCTTCTTGCCTCCTTCACAGACACTTTTTTTTGTTTCCTGTGATGAATTCTCCTTGCTCTGCCTGCGGAAAGTAGCTGGAACGGTTTCGTTCCTGTGGTGCTTTTCTCCCTCTTCATCCCTCTCAGCAGGCTCGGAGCTATTCAAATCCCCTCTATTTTCTTCCTTTCCAGCGCAGCTTCCTCCAGCCTCAGCTTTTTGGCTGATGCTGGGCTTGAAATCTGCCTTTCCTCCTCCCAGCGCTTCCTCCTGGGGTAACCCTCTGTGAGCCACGGGCTCGCTTTCTGTGACCCCCTCCTTGCTCCCTGGCAAAGCCACGTGTGAGGAGTCCCACAATGAAGAGATTTCAGGGCACCCTGCAGGCTGTGAGGGCTCCGTCCAGCAGATCGACGAGGTGGGCAGGCTCCCAGCATCCTGGCATGCAGCAGGATGGCAGGATCAGGCCCCGAGGGACAGCATCAACCCCCTGTGGCATCGACCCCTCCTGAGGGAGCCACCGTGGGCTTTGGCACCCTTGGTTTTGAGGGCATAAATGCCATCTCCTCCTCTTGGGGACCGTCCCAGCCTGACCTGGGATTGGCAGCAACTCAACTGCTCTATCAGCAGAGAGGGTTACACATTCATAATTAAAGTAAGGTGGGAAAATTTATCAAAGAGGGATGGGATGGGGCTCTTACCAGCCTGCCCAGCTGCAACAGGAAAGTTCATTTTCCCTCTTGCATCGACTTCAACCATAGCAGTTGGCTGGCCTGGCAGCTCTTTTGGTTTTCCTTTTTGCCCAGGAAATGTATTCACCAAAAATACATTCTTGCTCATGTAGATGACCTTTTTTTTTTTTTTTTTAATGTTAAACAAGCCAGCTGCAAGAGTCACCCTTGTTGGACCTCCAATCTCTTCCTAAAAAAAAAAAAAAAACAAAAAAAAAACAAGTGGCTCCCAGCCCTGCTCCAGGAGCAGCCCATGGAGATCCCATCCACGGCACACCTTCAGAAAAACACCCTGACCCGTTTCAAAGGTGAGGAGCAGCATTTCCCAACGCCTACCATTAAGTTCTCCCGAATCCCCTTCCAGATGCCCTGTGTGAGGACCTGCTCACTGGGCATCAACCCAGAGAAAAGCGCCCTCCAGAAATGCTCTTTCCTACCTTCACCTCACTTTTTACCTGCCTTATATTCCTTCTGTGGCGTTTCATTAGTACTGTACATTACATAAGAATATTGTGCCGGTTTGTTTTTTTATCCTGTTTCATTTTAAAACTATTAAAACCATCTGCCACTTGGTAAACACTAACATGTTTTCTGTTCCAGATCAAAGTGTCTCCTGTCTGTGTTGTAGTGGAAGTTTGACATTATTTTTTTATTTTTTTTTACAAGACGGGCAGGAGACTCTTTGATCGGGTGCCAAACTGTTTCCCTACAACAAACAGGCAACACTCTGAGCTAGAAACGATAAGATGTTATTATGCACTGTGATGATTTCATGACATGTCAGCAGTGATGTTTTAAAAAAAAAAAAAATCCCTAAATAATAGATAACATTTAAAATATCATCATGAAATTCCTTTTTTTTTTTTTTAATGAAAAATTTATGAATTGAAAGCATGCCTTTTATATTTTCCCTCTACGTGACTGTGACTTCTTGTTAGCATTTTGACCATTTTGTCGTAATCCTTTTCAACAAATCGGTTTCTTCTGTCAAGAACGCTGCATTGAAAAAATTCTGACGGAGCCGACTTAAAAAGCTTTTTCCTGAAAGCCTTTTTACACACGCAAGATTATTGTCCCTGCCAGAGAACAAAAGGATCACCTGCTGGCTTTTTTGTCATGGCTAAATAAATTAATTGCTCCAGGATTATTCCCTCAGAGTTCCCCAAACACGGCGCTTCCCACCAGCCCTCGTACACATGTTCTCCTTTGATGCCACGACGCGCTCCCTCCGCAGAGAGCCCACAGCTTCGCGGTAACACAAGCACTGAAGCTGCATGCTGAGAAAAGAGACATGCACGTTGTCATTTCTGTCTTAATTTGCATGCTGACAAGGAAAAGGGCTCTCCCGTAGCCTGGTGCATCTCTTCTGGCCCTCTGCGCAGCACCCGTCTTCAAACCTGCGAGCTTTCTCACCCTAAAAGAGGTGGCAAGGAATAGACACTTCACATCCAGGTCTCCTTTTCTCCTCTGATGGGAAGTCGCCGTCCCCAGAATGACTCTCAGCACCCTCACGGCACAGGCTGCTCAAGAAACCTTGAGCCCGAGCTCATTTTCTCCCTCTTTAAGCAGGCCGTGTGGAAACAAAAGCCACAGTATTGTACACTTCGCCGTTTCGACTCAATGGCAGTATTTTAATACACAATAAATCATTATTGAGGGGAAAAAGTCAGAACTCCAGACCGGGAGGCTAGACGTGTGGGTTGGGTGTTGCAAACCAACCCAAATGAATTCACGTCGGATGTCTCATTCCCTGGGGCCCCCCCGAATTCACCACTTCCACGCTTTTCTTCCCCAAAGACTGCGTTCAGAAGTGCACTAGGCACAGCTCACTTATTTTGGAGAGCTGAGAATTCAGCATTTTGTCCCCTCTGAAAAGAGGACCTGCTTTCCACAGGTTGGTTGTTGTTACTGCTTGTCTTCAGCTCCTCTTCCCCTTCCTCTCCCTCTCCAGGCAAAACTCAGAGCACTTCCTACTGCCTGTGATGCATAAATACCCCACGGGGTTATTAATTAGCTCCTGCCCTTTCCCCAAACCCCTGTGTGCAGGATGACCCAGGAGATCACAGAGCCCAATGTGCCCAAGGGCTTCCCTCTTCACCAAGAGAGGGAAATGGCTGGGAAGAGAGAGCCACAAGTCCCGAAGAGCCCGTCTCTTCCCCAGTGAAAATATTTTGAAGCTGTGGCCTAAAGAGAACAGCACGTCAGAAGTGCCTACCAACAGGCCTTGCTCTGGTACAGAGAGAGTGGATCAGGTCAGAACAAGACATGGAGCTGCTAGAGCAGGTCCAGAGGAAGGCCGTGAAGATGATGGAGGGGCTGGAGCTCCTCTCCTGTGGAGAGAGGCTGAGGGAGTTGGGGTTGTTCACCTTGGAGAAGAGAAGACTCTGAGGAAACCTTATGGAGGCCTTCCAATATATAAATATGGGCTTATGAGGAAGATGGAGAAAGACCTGTTACCAGGACCTGTAATGACAGGGCGAGGGGCAATGGTTTTAAATGAAAGAGGGTAGATTTAGATTGTATATAAGGGAGAAATTCTTCACCGTGAGGGTGGTGAGGCCCTGGCACAGGCTGCCCAGAGAAGCTGTGGATGCCCCATCCCTGGAGGTGCTCAAGGCCAGGCTGGATGGGGCTTTGGGCAACCTGGGCTGGTGGGAGGTGTCCCTGCCATGTGGCAGGGGGGTGGGGACTGGTGGGCTTTGAGGTCCCTTCCAACCCGGGCCACTCTATGAGCAGAGTTCATGTGCCATTTGGAGAAGTACAATTTAGCCTTCAGTAGCACCAAGGCCACCCCATGTTCCTCAGCTCCCATCTAGGAGCTCCTAACCCTGCCTGGCTTCCAAAACCAGGGAGGATCAGGCATGGTCAAGGCGTTATAGCCATGGCAGAAACAATACAGGCAAAATACAGCACCAGGAGGCCAGCAGGTCTCTGCCCTGCACTCTCCCAAAGTGGCCAACAGTGTCTGCTCTGAGACACAGCAGGGATCACCTGAATCCAGCCCCGTCCAGGCATCTTACAGGCTTCATAAACCCCCCAGCTGGCTAGGTAGCCGTGATCCTTAATAGCAGCATTTAACAGCGTTCCTGTTACCATGCCGAAGTACACCACGCAGCAATAGCCTGGGTCCCGAATGTGCCATTTGCCACATCTATTCTCAGAACAGCTTTCCAGACGATGTTCAAGCCTTTCCAGGAACCAAAGGCATCTCCACGAGGACCGGGCTATTATCCCACTGCTCCTCTTTGAAGTGCCTTGCCCCCATTAAGCAAACAGTGGAGGAAAAGCTTCCTATTTACCTGCTCCAGCACAGCCCTTTGTTTTAGCCCGGCTGGGCTGCATCTGTCAGAGCAGCAACGTGCAGCATATTCTTCCTCTCTATTTGCATGGTTTGAAGAAGCAGGCTGCCTACACAGGCATTTTCCAGATGGAGCAGTCCCATGTGGGTACAGACCTTTACTAGCAGTTGCCAGACTTACCACGGTACATGAGAAATGCCTACGTGTAATTACAGGGTTGGGTTGTTTTGCTTAATCATCCTGCTGATGGTAGAATACAGCTGCCCGAGGGATTGTCCTCTTGGAAACCTCCCTCAGCACACATTTTGGGACACTCAGGAGGAACCATATCTCCCGGCAGGCTCACGACAGGTAGCAGTTTTATGGGGGAGGAAAAGGTCTATTTCTTCAACTAATAGCTCTTGTTTTATTCAACACGCTCCCGTGGAGTTCTGCAAAGGCCACAGCACACGGAGGGGACTGGGGATGGGATTGTTCCTGGAGCCGGTTATTGCTGTTGGAAATGGCTGCTGCTGTTTTTCCATCTCCTTGATTTAGCCGGTGGGTTTCCAAAGAACAAAAAAATAAATAAAAATCAGTGCATTCTCTTGACCCATTGCTGCAAAACTCAACCTGAGATATAGAAAAACCTGTGGTCAGCAGGCTCTCACTCCGATCTACCCTCGCCCTTGGTGGCACAGTAGGAAGTCACCAAGGATTGTATGGTCACCATCCTGCTGGGCACAGAGGGACACCAGCCTGAGCATGGCCTGAGAGAGCCCCCTCTCTAACGAAGCCATCTGATATAGAGCAGTTGATGCTGTTCAATGCCCACACTGCAGATGCTAAAATAAAAGCAGTCCAGAGAGCCTTTGGGGGTGAATGAACTGATGCCATTGCTTCAGAAACAAAAGCAGAGTCTAACCTTGTGAGGTTGGGTACAATTGTGACACACCAGGTTGAAGTTGTTCCTCCCTACCTGTTTGCACAGCTAAAAGCAAGCAGATAATTTTATTTTCCAATTTTCTGGGGAAAAAGTTACAACCTTTATTCCTTCCTTAAGGAAGAGATTGAATTTCTTTTTATGATCCTGAGCAATGCGATCATTTACTCATTTACGGAGTCTACAAAAGCAATTCGTGTTTCAGCTCGATTATTTGCATATAATGAGTCACGGGACAAAACACCGTGGGTACAAAAATGTTCCTTAATAGAGAAATTGGTAAAACATGGTGAAGATTAAGGACCTGACGTAACCTTAAACATCGCAAAACTGTCGCACATCAAGAAAAAAAAACCTTCGGCCCCATTTTGTGAAGAGGGAAGGCCAGTCCTGTATTTCTGTTTAATCTTAATTAACTCTCCGCAGGATCAGGGGACACAACAGCACTGGCAGCTTGTGCTACTGTCAGAGCACGGGGGCAGAAACTTTGTTCCAACACAGTTTCAGTGCTCTCAAAGCATCCAGAAACTACGTAAATCAGGCCTTGATGTGTCATTTAATCTTAAGAAATAATTTGGGATTTTTTCTTTTATTTCTTTTCGCTTTTCTGGCTCCGTGCTTTGCAGCTCATTGATATTTTCGGCTCTTTTCCTCGGAAACCAAAGGCTGGAAGCTGACTCATTGTTAATAGAAGGTAAAAGCCTCTTGGAGGCATCACGATTTCAGGAGCTGAGACTTTAATGGGAACACCAAATGCATCTGGCATTATGATAAGGTCATCAAAAATTAGCAACACCGAAGGTGCGTCCTGGCTGTCCTAACAGAGATCAAAGCTGATATATATAAAACTGCATTTTGTGAAGGGTCAGACCAAAAGTAAGGGTTATTTTCCTATTCACTCCTTTTAGGCAGAAAACAGAAATTGATGTCTGTGAGGGTCCCATGCAACATCTCCGAAGGGTGGGCAGCTTTCATTTGAGCCTTGCCTTGGCTGGCTCTGCCTCCCAGCCCTGCCAGGATTGCACTCTCATCAGAGAGAGAGAATGTAGAACTGTGCACAGAAATGAAAGTGACCCATTTAATGATCTCTCCTCTAATGACTTGCCCACAAAAGCAAATAAAATCAATGCTAATAAGGGATGCCAATGCCCAAAGCCCTCTCCAGATCAGGAAGAGGGAGATCACTTCTTTTATGTAATGGAATGAGCTGGAGACAGCGGTGAAGCAGGGGAGAGGAGATCTGTGGAGGACACCACGTTAGCCACAAGAGTCTACCCAGAGTGTCAAGGGTGGGGAGCAAGGGACAGACAATGCACACTACACTAAGGAGTGAACTCTCTCTTCCCCCCAAACTGGACTGGGGTAAGATTTTCATGACCAAAGCCACCCAAAATCACTATCTACAGAACTGCCCTCTCCTTCTGCAGGGTGTTCTTCGTTTATTTTGGTTTGTGGTTTGGGTTTTTTGTGTTTGTTTGTTTTGCGTTGCTCTATCTCCCCAGTTAATTCAGATGCTTGCCTTAAATTTATTTTGAGAAAAAGAGAAGGATGCAACCATCTTGCAGACAACTTCATTTAGCACCCTGCTAATTTTCACCTCCATCATGGAAGCACCAGTGCTGTTCCCACCACCTCCAAGACCGGGCATAGCACCTCAAGCAAGAGGATGGACTAGAGCAGCACCAAGGCCAGCCAAAAACATGGACAAAGCCACTTTCCCTGGGCTACCCAAAAACTCCCTCAGACCACCAAGGCCACCAACAGCCTGTAGAAGTCCAGAGCTGCAGTAAACACACCGCTCACCCATGGCTTTTCCAACGAGGGTATTGGCATCCAACAGGTCACATCAGAACATGGTCACTCCCACAGTCTTCCTGCATCCTTGATTTACCTGAGCAGCCCCAGCCCTAACTTCTGTGTAACCCATCCTAGGGTGGAGCTGCCTCCGTTCCCTACATGCCCTGGCAATACAGCAGTACAGCCACTGCTCTTCCTCGGAAATCCGGAGTGCCTTCGTTTATGGCACTTAAGGAGTAAATAGGAGTCATTGCCTCCTGAGAAGAGGCTGTCCTGGCGCAATCCTTCACACAAACCCATAAAAAAGGGAGCTGGTGTTCATTAAGAACATGACTGAACCTGATTCACCACCGTTCCTAACAGGATTTGAAGCCTATGGAGATGGGGAGAAGGGCTAGGGGACGTTTTCCTACACCACCTATCAGTATCGACATTTCTCTCCTCATCTCAGCACTTTTGTATTGCCCTGATCCCTGTTTCTTTTTTCTCCCAGGCAAGTGCTCAACCTCCTTCCCCACCGACCGACCAAAGAGAGCCGCCCCCCAGGGCAGCAAAGCCTGCAGCGAGCTGCGAGCCACGCGCGTTCCCGCTGCCCACCTCTGCTTTTCGCTTCTCTTCTGGTTCGAGGTTTTTGTCAGCAGCACCTTTTCTAAAAAGGAGCCCACACAAACCTCCCTCCTGACTGCTTTCACTTGCGAGCCTTAGAAACAGCCCTTAGAAACACTCTGAAGGAGGCCATGAAAGCTCTCCTCAGCCTCTTTTAGGGCCTTTGTCAACAAGGCCGTGACATGGGCCTGGGGACCGGCCTGACACGGCTCGGGGGACACATTTATCTCCAGGGCACGACTCCAAACAGCCCCCCGTGAGACACAGGAGCTTGCTGCAAGCCTCTGTAGGCCACCACCATGAGGTCAGTGCCCCAGGAGCAGGGACAAGGCCACGGATGAGGAGGACAAGGGGACAAGGCCATGGACGAGGCAGGGAGCAGAGCCCCCGCAGGCTGTGGCCAGTTTCACGGAGCTCACTCACGAGTTTAAGCTCATATCTAATTGAATTGCAGATGGCTTTTCTGATGGCTATCTGGGAGCAAAGCTTTGATTAAAGCGGCAGCGGAGAGGCAGAACAGGCTTGTTGTTCCCAGTAATAAAACTGATGGAAGGAGGAACGACCACTTACTGCAGGCTCCACAGGGAGCATAAAGCAGGCAGATACTTTAAACACGATTTTATTTTTATTATGACTTTTTTTTTTTCTTTTGATTTTTGAGATTTGACAGCTCAGCACAAACCCCCAGCTTCCAGCTCCTAGAGATACAGAACACAGGGAAGGCTGGAAAGCAGCTGACCGTCACTGAAAGGCTCCACAAACAAACTCACCCCCGTCCCTTCCCATACTCCTTGATGAACAACAGATCCGCTTTCTGTTCCGACGGCCAGATACGCTTGTTGCTCTTTATTTTGTTTTTAGAGGCTGGCAATTTCTCTGCTCCATCCTTTTGTCGCTTCCAAGAATCAGGTGGCTCGGCCCTGAGGTCGCACACGCTAGATCTCAGCCTCTTGAGATCTTCTGGTGCCTTCAGAGCTCCGAAGAGGGAGAAGTTCAGAAGAGCTCCCAGCCCACCCAAACTAGAAAACTAAACTGAAGCTTTATGGGTTGTTGTTTTTGTTGGTTTTTCTTTCCCCCCTCATGACGACTTGAACCACATCCAATGCACATTACCACATACGCATCGCTGAAAAACCACCCCCACCCAACGCAGCTGAAGAATCAAAGCTGAACTTCGAGCTGACCTAAAAACCTGGCTCAGCTCAGGAACACGGTGTCAGAGGACTGCACTCCCCTTCCACAGCTGGCTGTGCACAAACCGAAGCCACATTAGGTCCTGGGGGCCTCTCGGCCGCGTCCTGCTTCAACTTTCTCTCTCGCCTCTTGGCCTTGCACAACTCTCCCGGGGGCACCTCGATGAACAACAACAACAACAACCTGGGGCTGAGTTTCAAGGAAAGTCCTTGGAGGTTTGTTGGTTTTCCCTTTTGAACTGTTGCCCTTTTCCGATGTATTTACAATGTAAGGAAGTCAGTTTATTCACGGTTTGGCTTTTAACTTCATTGTTGAGCTTGGCCTTGCTCCTGTTGGAAATTGGACCCTGATTCAGGAGGGCAGCTGCCAGTGTCTGCTGGAAACTCCTTGCCACGGGATTTTCAAACATGTTGCTTGTTGGCCCAGCTCAGCACAAAGTAAATGCAGGAGGAAGAGCCCTGCTTACTCATCGCAGGAAAAGAGGCAAGCGTTTCGCAGAGTAGCCTCAAACACACATCGCCAACTCCTGAGCTTGTTCCAGGCTTCCCAGGAGCTCCCTCCAGCAGCCAGCCAGGGCTCAGTTTCGCACATCTGAAGTTACACTGTCCAGCAGGGACAGAGTTGGGCCAACTGCCAGCCCCCAGCCTCGGCCTTGAGATTTGTTTCAGGTCCACCCCAGCAGAAACCTCTCCAGAAAGTTAAAACGCGTCATCCCAAAGAGAAAAGCAAGAAATATTTCAACATCTCAGATGCCAACTGCTACTACTCACGAGGCTCCGTTAAGCCAAGCGAGCTCGAGTACTGCTATTCTACCCCACAAAGAATAAAGATATATATATATTTTGTCTTAAACTCAATATACGCACCATGGAGCTACAGAATTCAAGGGTGGCGATTCCCAAACAGCCTCGCTGGGCTCCTCCTGCAGCTGAAAGAGGGGAAGCCGCCTTCCAGACACTGATTTATTCCATAAGGATTGGGGAGAGTCATCTCTGAGACCCCGCACTTACCGCGCTGCTGCTGGGAGGTTTCGTCTGGATGCTCTTGGGATGGTTTTCAGACACATAATGGAAGCCTATTTCTCTTCCCCAGCTATTTACAAAGCCCTCATTTTGGACAACCTGCACTTGCCTTAGAATTATTTGCCAATCTCTTTTTTTTTTTTTTTTTTTAAAGCAATTAGGGAAAAATAGCAAGTTGTGCTCGGCGATAATTCGCTTACCTCAGTTCATCATGTTGCTGTTAAAAATAAAGCAAGCGTGCGGCTAAATGTCAAGAAGGTAAATGACAAACAGTTTGAATATAGCCTGAAGAGCTACTGAGCGGCAGATAGGCAGAGATTAGGAAGCCTGACAGATTACATTTAATTTGATTCTTGCTGTGGATGAAAGCCCGAGCATTTCAGAATTCTTACCAAAAAATAAATGTATTAAAAAAAAAAAAAAAAAAAAAAAAAAACAATTATCTAGTGGGAAAAGAAAAAGGGTACTCTTGGCTATTGGAGCCATTTGATTTAAAGTGCTCTGAAAAATGATTTGTTATAGAACAAAAGCAAAAATCAAAACAATTCATTCCACAAGCATTACAGCACAACAGGCTGAGAAGCCCTCCCTTTGTTTTGGGCTCAAGTGAAATTTTGGTCAATTTTGGGCTGTTTCACAGAGGGAGCCTTCAGTTTTGACAGAGGGGTTGCTAAAATAACCTCGGCAACCAAGTTTCTCTGCCTAACTTTAGCAGTTTCATAAACAGCTCCAAAAGCTGGCTCCATGGTTTTAAAGCGATTAAAACAGCGCTTCACCAAGGAATAGATGACAAGATTTGCCAACGCTGAAGCACAGCGTGCTAAAATTATCGACATATTACCTAACCCAAAGCCTTCAAACTCCCAGACGCTGCCTTAAAGAACAGTTTGGAAAACAATCCTGGATTTAGGACATGCTCGGGCTGTTCTCTAAACAAAGAAGAAGAAATCAATCCAGAGGTCAATCTCGTTTTTAAACATAAAACAATGCTCGGCAAATTCGGGTGAGCGAAGTGGGTGAAAAAGCTTATCTGCATGTTAACATTGGCTTTTTAGACACTCAACATTATGGCCTGGAAGTGCTAAAGAGACATTCAGAATATAAAGGCAACTGGAGACAATTAAGCCACTTACAAAGCACCAAAATTAGCATTCCTTTTGTCAGGCCCAGATAATTCAAGTGCTGTTCTGCCACAAAGGCTATCATCAATTTCTAATTTTAGCTTAATCCATTAAAAAAAAAAAAAAAAAAGCATCTAGCTTTTCTCTCAGTTGTTTCCTCATTAAGGATACTTTTAAATTATATACTGAAACCTCGAGAATGCAAACTACAAATTACAGTTCACATTCCCACAGGGACATAGGCACTTGCTTTGATATACTAATCCCAGCAAGGGTATCTGACGCAGCTCCTTGTGCCCTAACACAGCCCAGCAGAGCCTGAACCACTGCGTGATCTGAGCCCAAAAGCAAGATTTAGTCCTCAATCACAGAAAGAAAGTCTCTCCTGCCTTTGAGCCCACAGCCTTCTTTTTTCCTCTGCTACACATTTATCCATAGTAATGTTGCTCCCCAGGAACTGTAGCTCCTGATATTCACTCACCAGTATTCACTACACAATACCCTGCAAAAGACTCCGTACCAACTTTGCAATTACCCTTCACATTTCAAGCCAAATTCCTGCACTCAGTTTTTAGGACGGTGCTTTCCATGACAAAATACTGTCCTACCAGTCTGTAAAGGACTAATAATTTCGTACTTCAGCAAATGCCCAGGATCCACTGTAAAGCTGCAAAGCCCTTTGCTACCCCAGTTGCAGGCTGTGGTCTTGCTGTTACCTACGAGCCTTCCGCCAGTAGCTTTGTAGGTTTTGGTTCACTTCTATTTTAATCATGATTACTGAAGAGGAAATAAGCAGTTTTTTCCAAGCTGAAAGTGCTTTTTATCTCCATGAAGAACTTGGAAATTCTCCTCCACAATCCCACAAGGCACAATTAACACCAAGTTTGCACAATTTCAACTTGCAGAAAAACAATCGAGGTAAGAGCTGTGGGTGTGAAAGCGAGGTATTCGTGGCCATCCAACGTTTCAGCCCGGTCTAAGCACCAAAAGCTTCAGAGAGCATCTTGCTGCGGCTCGCATGCTGGGTCTGTGCTCCTTCTCTTCAAGGTACAAAAAGCACCCGGTGGTGCTCCTGGCACTTCCACAGCCACTTCCTCATCTCTCCGCTCACGCAGAGCCCAGTTGCAACATGCTGAAGTGACCGCAGCTGACATGATTACAATATGCAAACAGTGATTTATCAACATTGTATGCTTTATTGAAAGTTGACAAGTGCAACAGTTAAATACATTGACGTGTTACAACTGTTTAGAGAACATGCACAAAAACATATGCATACTACTATACAGATCATATGCAAAAATCCATACTGGGAAATCCAATTTTTTTTTTCTTTTTTTTTAAATTCTTTGCTAGCAGGGTTTGATAATAATTTTTGGAGTGGTTTTTCCTGTCTTAAACCAAACTACAATGAACAAAGATTTACTTCAAGATAATCAGCAGCCAGGGAACTTCAGAAGTTACACAAACAGCATAAACCTGCCAAATTCTGAACAGTTGCGTAGGTGCATTCTTATTTATGTAGCATTAAAAAAAAAAAAAAGACTTTCCAAACTTTTTCAGATCAGCCAATGAAACAACTAAACTTCAATCTGTACAACCTAAATAGTTACAGTTTTTCTATTTTACAAAGTAATTACACTAAATACACAAATGTACAGTAGGCAAATAACCTTCATTGTAATTATCCTATGACCCAACTGTGTGTCACCTACCTGCCTTCTATATATAATACAGCTTTATGCACCTGTCCACTGCTGCAGAAAACGGTGCAAGTATTTGCACTTAAGGTTTCAGGTGACAATTAAGTGTTAAACACTGAGTTTACCTTTCTCCCTCTTCCTCTCAGATCCTATGCACCAGTCCTCACTTTGGAACCCCGGTGCTCTCTGGGGATCGAGCCATCGCCTTTCGTTTTTTAAACTCCAGTCTATTTCTTCACACGTTCCAAGCTTGAAAAGCACTTGTATCTGTAGCATCACTGGATGAGTGGAAGATTTAAAAACAAACCAAAAAAAAAACAAAAACAAAAATATTCAGGCGTGCAGCTTCGTTCTTCAGCCATCTGCAGAAGCTGCTCCAGTCCCCAGTGTACTTGTGCTAATTCTCTGGAAGAAGTTTATTTTATTAAACCAACCTAAGAACAAAGACTCCTTCAAGCCAAAGGGGGAAGGGAGGGAAGAGAGGGAGAGATGAGCGCGTAACATGGCGGTGGGCGGGCGGGAAGCCTCTCGTAGTGATGCGTGCAGGGCACCGAGTCCTCAGTCCGGGCTGCGACGCGTGCCGAAATGGATGTCGGGCGGATTCCCGCTACAGTCCTCCTCGCTCCGGGCAGTCCAAGGGCCGGCGGTCACGACGGCGACGCCACTGGCGGCTACGCTGAAGGCCCCGATCCCTGTGAGGCCGGCTGGGCGGGCTGCTGCTGCTGCTGCGTCGTCATCCCTTGGGACTGCGAGGAGGACGGCGGGGACCCCGTCTGCAGCTGCGCCTGGAACTGGGCGAGCTGCTCGGGGCTGGCCAGCGTCTTCAGCAGCGTGTTCTCCTGCTCCAGCTGCGAGTTCTTCTCGATCAGCTCCTTGATCTGCTCCTTCAGCACCTCCACCTCCTCGCGCACGGCGTACATCAGGTGGCTCTTCACCAGGTCCTGAGGGGCGACACCGGGGGGGGGGGGGGGTTAGGGGGGACATCAGGGCACGGCCAAACACGTGCGCCGGGTGGCGCGCCGCAAGCCACGCCCCCTCCCGTAAGCCACGCCCCCTCCCGTGAGGCCACGCCCCCCGCCGCGCCGGCTGCAGCCAGTTCTGGGCGCAGGTTGCCGCATTTCCCTCCCCTGCCGCCGGCCGGCCGCGGCCGCGGGTGACGTCAGGGCGCGGTGCGGCCAATGAGCGGCCGAGTTATTTATAGCCGGTTGTTAAAGGCTCGCACTTTGCCTAGCAACAGCCGGCCGGCAGAGCCCTCCCGGGAGAGCCGCGGCTCCGGCTCCGGCACCGCTCCGCCAACAAAGGGAGCGGGCGGCGGGCACCGGGCACGGCACGGCACGGGACGGGACCCCCACGCCGGGAACTGCCGGGCCCCAGCCCCCCCGGGCTGCCCCGGCCGCCTACGAGGGGCTGTGCTTGTTTGTAGGGCGCGGGATGCGCCGAGGAAAGCAACGAAATCGATTAAAAAATGAATTAGAAAGCAGGGGGAAAAATGGGAATAGGGCAAAATGCTGCGTGCTGCCCCAATGCACCGGCACCCAGCCGTCATGCGCTGTGGTGAGAAACAGCCCCGTGGTGAACCCTGATGGGCAAAGCCCCCAGCCCCAGACCCTGGACACGAGACCCCAAAACACAGAACCCCAAAACCATGAAACCCCTAAAACACAAAACCCTAAAAACACAAAACCCCAAAAGCTAAGGGGTCCCCTGCCCGGCCCCGCAAGCCTCCCGGCGCTGTACGTACCATCGCTTGCTCGATCTTGTTGTCGATCGCTACCACGCTTGCACCAGAGGAGCTGCGAGAAAAAGGAGGAAAAAAAAAAAGAAAAAAAAAACACCATAAAAATCAAAATAAGGACCGGAGGGCTTAGGGACGGCCGGATCCCTCCCGAGCCCCGGCGGGATGCTGGGGCTGCAGCGCTGCGAGCGGGGCGGCCGCCCCCGGGCTGCCCCCCCCGGGCACGGCGGGGGGACGGCGCTGGGCTGGGGGCGGCGGCCCCGCTCCCCTGCTCCCTGTCCCCTGTCCCGGTCCTAATCCCAATCCCGATCCAGGTCCTGATCCCGATCCTAATCCTGATCCCGATCCCGATCGGGGCAGGCGGGCAGCGGTGCGGCTGTGCGCGGACAAAGGGATGCGGCTCCGGGGGTCGTGCCGCCCCCCTTTTACCCCTCACCCCAAAATAAATCCCCCCTCTGTCTCTCTTTACCTACTGTCGAGCCTCAGGGAGGAGCTGTCGGTGCCCAGCAGGGACGAGAGGAAGGAGATGGAGAAATGCCGCAGCTGATAGACCCCGAGATCCATCGCCACCGCTCTACAACATCGGGCGCTCATGCGAGCGCGGCCGGGAGCGCTCCCCGCGACAGAGCCCACGGGGATGATGAAGGGGGCGAAGGGGACACGAAGGGGCGAGGAGCTGGGGGCTACCGGGGGAGGGGGGCCGGGGCTGGCCGGCGCCGGGCGAGCCGCGGGGCGAGCTGCGGGGCCGCGCCGCACAAAACCCGGCCATCCCGGCCCCCCCCAGCTTTTATGCGCCGCCGCCGCCGCTGATTGGCTGCGCCGCCGCCAGGCCACGCCCCCTCCTGCATCTCATTAAGGGAGCCCCCCCCCCCCTCCCCTCTCCCCCAGCCCCCCCTCCCCTCCCCGCTCTGAGCACCCCCCCCCCCGCATACCCCAAATTGGTGGGCACAGGGAGGGGGGGCACGGACCCTGCCCATCCTTCATCGCTTTAAAATGAGACCTAAAGGGGTGTGGGGGGGTCTTGGGACCCCCCCCCCCCCCAATCAAAGCTGCCCCCTCCCTATTAAAAAATTTCGGTAGGAAATGGTGCAATTCAGCAAAAGCAACTTAAAAACGCGGGGAAGCGGCTGGCGGGCAGGAGCCCGGCCCCGTTGCCTCGCCGACACCGCCACCTGCCGGCCCCCTGGCTGTGTGCGTGTGTGTATAGGCGGGGGGACCCCAAATCCATCCCAAATCCACCCTAAATCCGCCCCAAAACGCAGCGCGGAGCACGGAGCCCGCCCGGCCCCACACGTGTCTGGGGCAGGGGAGAAGCCCCTTAGGGCTAAGGAGAGCGGCCACGTCCCTCTCAGCTCCCTGCTTCACCCAAAAAGGCACCAGCAGGGAAACCACCACACACATACCACACTCCAGGTCCCCACCTCGCCCCCCACACCCCACACACCCGGCAGTAATAAATACCCACGAGTAACAGACAGGATCCCGAGTCTGATCCCCGCTCGGGTCCTTAACCCTATTCCACCACCAACTTCAGCGTGGGCTTTTGGTGAATTCCTCCACTTGTTTTTAGCCGCCCATGAGCCCGGGTTGTGATTCACCAGAAAGCTGTAGGGCTGCGCGTTGATGTGCACGCTCTGCTCTGCCCACCCTATATAACATAAAGCTCCAGGAGGGGCTCAGTAGGGTGACTGCGGTGTCACCGAGCCAGGGTGCTATAGGGCCAAGCAAGCAGCGTGCAGAAATACAGGAGATGCTTACACCAAAACGCACACCAGAGCCGGCAACTTTTGAGCGAGCTTTGGCTTGGTGGTGTTGGAGATCTGAAACGCCGCTTCTCCCATTAAATAATTTCCTCTTGTCTCAATTTAATCCCGCTAAGCACTCCTCTTTGAAGTGCTTCTCAGCTTAAGCACATAATGAGGTAAGCTGCAGCACAGAATCCTTTTGTCTCCACGCGAGCCTGCTTCTGTGTGCTTGTTAAAAAAAAAAAAAAAAAATACCTCTTTATCTATCAAGCACCTCGCCAAGGTGGGCTTCCTTCAGGTGCCAGCCCGGGATGCCCTGCACAAGCATCTCCCCGAGCTGAAATCAATCTCATCTTTGGGTCGGGCCCCCAACTCAAAGCTAGAGGTATCCTAGAGGTACCCTACAGGTACCAACAGCTATTTTCCCAGCATCAAACTTCTGTGAAACTGCTCAGACCTAACAAGCTGAAGAAACAACTCCGGCTGCAGCTGAAACCAAGGGCTGAAGGGTTATTGATTTCAAAAGACAGAAATGTAAGTTAAAAACACAATCTCCAGCCTTAAACCTGTAATTCTGATCTTTGTTTAAGGACACCAAGTTTTAATGCCAACAGAAGATGAGGTCTGTATCGAGTACCTGGATATTAGGATGCACAGAGAGGATCACCTCTTACCAGTCAGCGAGCTCTCCACAGGGAAATTCGAGCCATCTTTAACCAGTTGTGATGTTTGGGACATTTCTTTCCTCAGATCATCCCTAGCTGACTACCCAGCGATGCGGTCGGGATGAAGGCCCCTGCTCTGCGCACATCTGTGGGGTTCGGTTTCCGAGTCCCCTCTGGGAGTCAAGCAAGGTTGATCATAGCTCGAAGCCCAAAATCGCATCCAGATGCTGCACCACCTAAATTTAAGGACTTGCACGTTTGCAAGTCCGGGAACCAGAGGCTTCCCAGATAGCATAATCCAAGCTTAAAATGACAAAGCAGTAAAATATTTGCCTTAATTAAAAAAATCCTCCTCGTATCGTGTCCCGTAAACTGCTCATAACCAAAGACTGAGCAGGAAGAGATCCACCAAATGTGTCAGTGCCCTCAAAGTCTTAAATGAGACCCAGGAATTGGTTTGTATTTCACACACACCCCAAAAAACTGCACACAACCTTGCTTTGTGTGCTGTTGCTATCCCCGGGATAGCAGGGGAGAAAAACATTTAGTGCCATAAAACAGCCTACGTGGAAAAGCAACAAAATGTCACCGTTTTAAGTCTCACCACCCCAAGCACGGAGCCAAAATCCATTTTTCCTTTCTGTGAAATTGCTTAAATCATCCTAGATTTAACTCATAAAATGAGCATTCAGCTCCCTGCTCTTACGCACAGCTTTCATGTGCTGTGCTCTCCTCAAAGCCGAGGAGAACACCTCAGGAGTAAAAGCCACTTACGTTAAAATTTAATCCCACTCGTTCTCCTGACTGCGCGAGAGGGGATTTTTCAAGCATCTACTCCAAAATTAACCGAAGAAGGGAAGAATGAGAGTCACTGGAGCATCTCGAGTCACACCTAGCATCACAAAAGAAACACAGCGAGGATGGGACGTTGTTTGGCACGCCAACACGGCAAGCATTTGGGAAGCCCGAGCACCCCTGCCCCATAGGGCTGACGTCGGGACGGTGGCACACACACACACCCCGCACAGCACAGCAATGGGATTTCATCATCAAATTAAAAAAAAATGTCTGAGTTAATAATTTAACCACACGAGAAATTATTCAGCATAGCAGCAGGCGCGTACTTCTCACCAACTAGTGCTTTTCCTTTTCAATTCGACCCCTGAAAGCACACCTGTATTTCAGAGAGACGCCTATCACAGCAGGAGGCCCAGCTCGCAGGTGTGTGCCTTACACCTTCTCGGGGCCAGAGCTGGTTTTAGGGGCACTTACAGCTTCTCCTGCAACGTGACCCGATTCAGCAGGGTTACTGCACGCTGCAGGGCATCCCAAAGCCTCCCTGCCTTACCAACCACCACGTCAGGCACCCCACAAAGCACTTTCCACGGGAAATACATTGAAACTTGCCTTGCTCAGGGAAGAAATCATAATAAAGCCACGCAGATGTGATGCTTGGTGTAAAGACTACGAACAGAGGTGTTCTTGAAAACTACTCAAAATTACCTGAAGACAGCTGAAGAGGTATTTCGATCCGATCTGACGTTGCCTCAAGGCTCTGGAGGATGCGCTACCTACTTGAGCACAGCTTTTATTTCCCGTAGCCCTGCCACACTGCAAACCAGAGAGCAGCCAGCGCAGACGTGCAAGCTCAGCACATTTTGAGCACATCCCCGGAGCACCTTCCAGGCCAGAGCCTGCAAGTGGCTGGCAGAGCTCCACGTCATTTAAAGAAAGAAAAAAAAAAGAAGCCAAAAGACCTTGTTCTCCTTGGAGCAGGGTCCAGCCCTCCCCAGCACCCTGCTACCACTCCAAAGGAGCTTTAGGGTTCCTGTAGGGCTTTCTGTGAAGCCCTCATTTAGCCACCCTTGAGCCAGCTGCTGCCAGCAGAAGATGTCCCCTTACCTTAATCTTCTCACGCACGGCCCGCAGGGATTACAGCACGGTATTTCAGAGCTGCTCCACACAAGGGTAATCACCTCGATGGGGAGCTCGCCGAGTTTATGAATGGTGCCCTGGTTATGAAGCGGGCCAGCCCATTCCCTCAGACCAATGGTGGTTTCCTGGTGGATATCTGCCTAAAATACGTTTCATGAGCTGTTCCAAGAGCCTTCCGTACAGAGCAAGGCCTGAAGTCACTTACGGGCTGCACCAGGAACACGACACTTCTTGAGAACTCTTAGCTAATCCTCCAGAAACCGCTGTCACCAAGTTGACACCTGGAGCCTCTACAGCTGAAGACAAAAACCCCACAAACCCCAACCCCGAGCGATTCTAGCAGCAGCACGTGAGATGAGTAACCCGTTTAGGAACGCACGGGAGCCCCAAACAGCTCCCAGGGACATTTCCTCATTCCCAGGCGAGGTGTTAGCCCAGGTGCCCAGCAGCAGCTGCGCCGAGCTGCCACCCCACAACCCATTTGGGAAGGAAAAAGGGTCTGCAGCCACCCTGGGCTCGAAGTCCCTCCTCTGGGAAGCCAGGGAAGCAGGGTGGCAGTGCCCCAGCAGGCAAGGGACAGGTGACCTCTTGCAGAAACACCCACGGGCAGCCTGCCATCACGCAGTCATCGCCTGCCCTGACCCGGTACAGAGCAGGGGAATTCCTCCGGCTCTTCCCGGCTGCTGGAGGCCCTGGGCAGGAGGAGGTGCCAT